CTACATTTAATAATATAAAAAAAATAAAGCAATGTCGCTTCCTGCCATCTGTATGTTCAGGCTTTTTAAACTACACATCGGATTTTAATGCGGTTTTCGTCAATAGATAGAGTGATTCAAGAGGAAAGTTCATACGTATATATGTGATGTTAAAATATTTCGATAATTATTGAAGACGTCAGATGAAATCAAGCCCACTGAGAGTTCGAAAATGCATAAATATAACAAAATAATATTGATGGAATTGTTCCTCTTTATTAGCTCTACAAAAAAAGTGAGCGTTGGTTTTCTATATTGTACAGACAGCATTTTTTTTTTATACAACATAGAATGGCAAACAAGCTGACGGCCCACCTGATGGAAAGTGGTAATCATCGCCTATAGACATGAGCAGTACCATGGACATAACAGAGTATACTGTTTCGCCCATGATATCCCCCATGCGTTGCCATTCCTGAGGACTCAGGTGTTATTCCTCTGTACCCAGTAAATTCACGCCATATCCCACCCTTCAAACCGAAACACAGCCATGCAAACACAACTGCTTTACGGTTAAAACACGATTGGGACAGAGGTACCCAAGCAATCGACTTTTGTACAAAGTCACCCTCTGTTGAAAATATAGAGATAAGTATAGAGATAAATAATTATATATTTTTTTTATTTTATACAAATTATGTGAAGTTTTGAAACCTATTTTATAGTAATTGTATAGTGACACCACATAGTTTCTACATTGTCTTGTGCGAAACCGAGGCGGGTCGCTAGTTCAAAGATAACCATTTCAACAAAATTACCTATTTTTATTTTTGTTACCTAATCATTAAATTCTATTGAAATAGACTCTTTCTATTATAGGTGTCTGACAAGTACATATATTAATTGAAATTAATACCTATAACGATTGTATGTAAATTTTTTAATTTATGTTGAACTTAATAAATTCCGTCTTTTTTGAAGTTTCTATTTATATTCAAAACAATTTATAGAACTAAAAAAGACATTTCGGTACGATATATTGATGATACTTTCAGTAGGTTAAGTACTATGATACTGGAGGAATTTTGCTTTACATTACGAATTTTGTTTTACGTTACATCCAGCTCAGTATCAAGTAATACTGTTTTTTTTTTTTTATAAATAGATACACTTGAGCCTTCTATCTCTAGCAACGTCTGTGTTGACAGATCTGAGTAAAAGTTATCGGAGAAATGATTCAATAGTAATTTTCATAGTTAGCTAAGCAGAGAGTATATTCTGTATTATTATTAGGTATTTTAGATAGGTCCACTTGTTGTGATACAGGAATAGAAACTTTGTTATTATAATTATTTCTTGTTATTATTATTATGAAACTACTTCCCTAACCCTCTCCTGGGATGAAGTACAAAGATAAATATTATTAGGAACTTGAGATCGCTGGCTATCGCTATGTTTTAGTTTATTTACAATTAAAACTTTCTGCAATTAGTAATAAGTTATATTTATTTCTCAAAGGCAAGAAAGCTAAAAAGAAAAAGATGGTATTTACTTTTGCATTCGAATACTTTAGAATGTATTTACAAATTTAAAAAAAAATCACGATTCAGTTAGTTATAAACGCTAAATTCGACTCAGTTATGAACGCTAAATTGAGACAAATTATTAATGTATTAAGTTTTTTTTTTTTAATTTTAAGACTGTGCTCCATAAAAAAATCCGTTTTCAATTTTGATAAAACCAGTTATTTTGTTTTCAAAACTTAACTACCGGACCGATTTTAATAAAATTTCTACGTGACAGGCCTGTAAGTATATCCCCATTCATATAAAAAAAAAATTCCAAATCGTTTTATAACTGACGGAGTTATGAGGTAACAAACATAAAAAATATATATAACCTAATTGAGAACTTCCTTCTTTTTGAAGTCGATTGATTAGCAGTCAAATATAAGTAACAATGGATTTTTTTTTATACTACAAAGGTAAAAAGGAAGCATAAAGCCCTTCTGATGGTAAACGGTCACTGTAGCCTATATGCGCTTGCAACACTAGGGGTTTATTTACGAAAAAAAAAAAACAAAACCAAATGGCATAAAATATTACACGGTAGAAACTAAATCTCTTGTTTTGTACTGTTTCGTTTTCCTTTTTATGACAAAAAATTTCACTTACTAACTCATTAAAAAGTTGTTTTATTGATCCTAACAATTACCAGGTAGAGAAGACAAAGCTGGCTCAGTGTAACATTACGAACTGTTTAGAACCCGGCGCTAAAAATATTTTTAATCCTTTCAATTTAATGTTTTATAAATGTTGTACAAACATTTATTCATAATACAAACATTCTTTAGCAACAAATATTTTTTTTTTTCATAGAGTGCAGTATTTTTTTTTAAGTTTGTACAGATGTAGATGTAAAACCTAAGTAACCCTTTGTCAACTTTTTACAATATTCATATAGATACAGTGAGTGTAAAAAGTATTCGTACACCTAGGGTTATAATAAAAAAAATACGAATTTGATAGACTTTCCTCTATTTATTTAATTTAAATCAATACTGTTAAATAGTTTAACATTCCCGCACTTTGTTTATGATAATTTTTGTTTTTTAAAAAAAAAATTATATAACTTAAAAATATTTTTACGTTAACTAAGCAAATAATGACAAACAAAAAGTATTCGTACATTCATTCTTTTTTAAATGAAATTCTGTATAAATCATTTATTCAATCGAATTTTTCATATGCCTACAATGCCAAGGTCATTTTTAATACGTAGGTATAGATATTAGACGTTTTAGTTGCACTCGTGACAAGTATAGACGTGTTTAGTTACAAAAATGGGTCGTAAAGCAAAAGAAACGAGTGAAGAGGAGAGAAAAATAATTATTAATTTGCATAATCAATGCAAATCATTATGTGAAATTGCAAAATTTGTCAATAGACCACGTTCAACCGTACAGACTGTAATTGATCGGTTTTCTATTACTAAAACACTAAAAAACAAACCCAGAGGTGGAGCGTCCATCAAAAATCACGCCTCGATTGGATTGGAAAATTTTAAATTGTGTAAAAAAAAATCCAAAAATTAGTGCCGCTCGAGTGTTACAAGAAATTAATAATATCAATGATTGCCATATTTCTGTCAGTACCGTTCGGAACGTATTACGTAGTAACGATAATCATGGAAGAACTGCGCGTAAAAAGTATTGGGTAAATTATATTAATAGAAAAAAAAGATTAGAATTCGCAAAAAAATATATTAATGAAAAAAATCATTTTTGGCAAACTGTTATTTACTCAGATGAATCGAAATATAATATTTTCAAATCGGATGGACATCATATGGTATGGAGAAAACCTAATATGGAATATAAGAAAGAAAATTTATGTCCAACGGTAAAACACGGTGGTGGGTCAGTATTTGTATGGGGTTGCATGAGTGCTTTTGGGGTGGGAAAACTTGCATTTATTGATGGAATTAGGGATCACAAAACGTATATTAATATTTTAAAAGAGAATCTTCTCTTTAGTGCAGCTCAAATGGGTTTTAACAATAATTGGATATTTTTACAAGATAATGACCCTAAACATAAAGCATGGAATACTAAAGCATGGATCCTGTTCAACGCTCCAAAATACCTAGAGATTCCTCCTCAATCACCTGATATTAATATTATAGAGCATGTGTGGGATTATCTCGATAATAAAATTCGAAATCGACCAATTTCGAGTAAAGAAACACTAAAAATTGCGCTTCGCGAAGAATGGGCATTGATACCGTCTTCTTATATTTTCAAACTAGTTGATTCGATGCCGCAGAGACTCCAAGCTATCATCAATGCTAACGGTGGTCCAACAAAGTATTAATATTTTTTTAATATTCATTTACTTACAAATTTTATAAGTGTACGAATACTTTTTGTTTGTCATTATTTGCTTAGTTAACGTAAAAATATTTTTATGTTGTATAATTTTTTTTATTAAAAAACAAAAATTATCATAAACTAAGTGCGGGAATGTTAAAATATTTAATAGTATTGATTTAAATTAGATAAATAAAAGAAAGTCTATCAAATTCGTATTTTTTTTATTACAACCCTAGGTGTACGAATACTTTCTACACTCACTGTAGATATACAAAGGTCTTTAAGGAATACTTTGTGTGTTACGGTTTGAAGGATGGGATATGGCGTGATTTTACAGGGTACAGAAGAATAACACCTGAGTCCTCAGGAATGGCAACGCATCATATCATCGGGTATCATGGGCGAAACAGTATACCTACTCTGTTATATTCATGGTACTGCTTATGTCTATAGGCGACGGTTACCACTTTCCATCAGGTGGGCCGACAGCTTGTTTGCCATTATAAGTTGATTAAAAAAACTCAGCTTATTTACTTCTTACTTACTTACGTTTATTCTAATGAAAAAGTCAATAATTCTTAGGTACATATAATATGTACAAAATTATCTTATAGTTTCAAATCTAGACGATAAAAATAAGCAACTTATCTACCTCCTTAACTCTCAAATAATGGAATTATTTTGAAGTCAAATAAAAAAGTCCGTATAAGATAAATACCTGAGTTTCTAACACATCATTTGTAAAAATTTGTTTATTTAACCTCCATATTTTCAACGTTAGACTGTTGGCATGATACAGGATTTAAAATTACAAATTTGGTATGTAGGGACATCTAGTAAAATAAAAGTTGTCCATTATTGAGTAAGCAGTGCACAAGAAGCATATTAACAATAATTATAAAGGACGTAGAGCATTAGCTCCACGTAAATAGTGGGCAGCTTTTTCTTTGCATGCAAGTGCACGTTCACTCCCTCCTATCTCCAGTGATACCGTAGCGGGATTAGCGGATATTCCTCGGTTGATTTCGGAGTTCATCGGCCATCTTCGCGTCCCCTACTCGATCGTAATTGCGAGAGTCATGCGAGTCTCAGCGAGAGAGAACGAAACCTCACTCCCCCTCTACCCGCCCGGGGCCAATACGTACTCATGAATTCATCAGTTCACCTCGAGCTGTCGTCGTGAGTGGTTGTGTTGTCGATTGTTATCGTGATTCTGTCCGTCTCTGAATTCGTGTGTTCTCTAGAATAAGCTAAAAACTATTAAAAATCTTTTTTAAAACTGGATAAACACTTTGGTGCGAAGACATATACGTGACCGTTAATAGTGTAGTGCTGTATCGTGACAGTGTAGTGGCTGGTCGCGCTACGTCGTCGTGCCTGAGTTGGCGTCGTCCCTCCGATTCTCGTGAGGTAAATGCCAAGACTCGTACGACGAGAGCGATCTTGTACGTGGACAAAAACCGGATTGCGGTGTTGTGATTATGAAGAAATATTTTTTCTAGAAAATAAGTGAAAATTCAATGAGATGAAATCGGTGCGAGTGCCGGTAAACCAAACGGTCCGCGAAAGAATCGTAACTACTTTGGTACCGTTAGTTGACGTCGCGGTCTCTGCTTGTTCACAGAGACATAGTTTTATTTTTTTTAACACGAATTAAACTACAATATCGTTGCTAAGTTGATACAATTTTATGCCAGTTGATAATTGCCCTAATCTAAGGAAATCTTAGCAGCATAACGTGTTTCAATGTCATACGATCTTGATAAAAGCGGCTACGTATGCGGAAATACACTGATACGCAACTTTATTACTCCACAGTCGTAGAGTGTTGAACATCTGGCCTTTGTTTATCATTTTATTTAAAAATAATTAAACTTATGTTGTTAAAAAACTTTAAGTCTGGCTATGGCAGATTGTGATTTGTAATTTACATATGGTTTTGGTGCCATTATTTTCTATTTAGGAAGTGTTTTTGAACTATGATGGTGATATAATGCGCTCCAGCAAGTCTACATGGGCGTGGCAAGTGGCCAAGTGCTCCAAGGCCTACGAGGACTGGTTTTTAATGTGTACGAATGTGGCCACTTGAAAAATTTCAACATCTCTGACCAGCGTTGGGTCACCAAGGAGCAGGTCTCACGATTATTTGCAGTTTACTCTTTATAAGTAAAAAAAACTGCAAGGGAATGAAGAAGTGTGTATACTTTACTTTCACTGAGAAACATGTATGGACGTTTTTTGTTAATACGTCAAACGCTAGACAACTGATAAATTGCCTAATGTTTAATAAAATCCGTTCCAAGAACCAGAACAAATATGGCTCGGCTACATGCATCTACAGTGATGACTGTGATATCCAACTATACGATTATAATAAGATTTGCGTACTAGTACCCTCCAGCTATACCGTTTAAAGAATAGAAAAGAAATATCTAGAAATCCAAAACAATAGTTTCTTTCGCAACAGATTTCCGCTTTAGAAATACGTCGGTTGTTATTGACAGTTTTTACATAAAAAAATCTTTAAAGATCCTTGTTTAGATCGTGAAGAATCTCATACGCAAACATTTGTAAGCCAGACAAGTATACTGTCACATAGTGGTGCTTTCTCAACATTGCTGCTATTTTTAGCGATCGTGATGCCATGCGCGACGCGCGGGGGCGATGGTGCTGCCAACGAAGTAGGTCGCGATATTTGCGCGCTCTACCTGACTGCACACACAATAAACAACTATCTTCATTATCAACATTAAAAAAAAATTAAACAGCCGGCAATACGCGCGTATTGCCCCTAGTATTGCAGGTGTTCATAAGCTACAGTAACAACTGCTTACTATCATACCGGTCATGTGTTTGCGTACCACCTCAGTGGTATAACATTTTAAACTATTGCACTATCAAATCATTATGGAACATAAAAAAAGATTATGCCCTACATATGTATGATTACACATTTTTCCTTTAATTTTAAATAATTGGGCTCATTATTGCAGAAAGATAGAGAAATCGAAAATGAAGGAAGGAGAATGTGGTGCAGCTGAAAATAATTATTATAATAGAAAAATACTTCCTAAGTCTCAATATTTTTATAAAAGCATACAAATATGTTGTAAGTCACGTCCTGTTTTATAAACACGGCAGACGGCAGCAGTTTACGTGACTGATGAGAAACGTCTGTATTCAGTTGGAATAAGACTGATGACAACTATTACTGTGGTAACGACATTACGTAGGACTAGTGGGACTAGGAATTAAAGACAGCGTAAGTATGAGATGAGATATTTTCCGAAATTTCGGGGACGAACGAAACAGAAATTTGATGTTAAAATTACATAATACATGCCGTTTAAAATTAGGATAGAATTTATGATAAATGAAATGTTAAGCTCCATTCACTGGAACGATTTCGGTACGAACAAAAACATGAAATTGAGCCCGAAAATTTGGAATTTCATTTCATGGTAGACCACCAGATGAATACACACAGAAGAAAAAGAACTAAAATAATATCCACAGAGACAGCAAAAAAGGATATTATTAATGTTTGTGGTGTAACACATGAAAAGCCTGAACCAGGATTAGAATGGAAACTAAAAACCTGTTGTACAGGCCCCAAATAGCAGGAAAAAGCCTAAGCATAATGACGATTAAATTCATGTCTTGAATTAATAATTACAATTACGTCAATGCATCTGTTGTTTCAAATTTAAACTTTATAGATAGATAGATATATAATTTATTTGTATTACTGACAACAGATACTGGTACATACGCAAAAAAAGAAATAAAAGAATATATCAAAAAAAGCAAAAGAAAAAAAAAACATAAGAGGTAACATTATTTTTACATTTCGTAAGTGGGCCACAGTAACACAAAATGGTCACAATTCAGTTAATTGCTTTGCCCTCAAAAGAGCAAAAAGCCAAAAGTCACTAAGAGTACCTATATTTATTAACATACTACCCATGAATACTTTTAAATCTAGATTTAAAGATGAGGTCTTATTTCCTTCGAAAAAATATAGGCATGCAATATGCTTTATATTTCATTCGTTTTTAGGGACATTTTTACAATTTCGACAATAATAGAATAAATGGTAAAATTGGAAAACCATACAGTTATGTACTTGTGAAATATAATATACTTGTTGAGAGCGATAATATAATAAAAAGACTACTGTCATTTATGATGTACGCCAAGACGAAAAAAATTCCATGGAAATCGTAAAGAAGTATTAAAATATTTGAAATCCAATCCGAAAGTTTGTGTTTCATTAAATATATTAGCAAAGAAAAACAAATAATTCATCCAAGAAACAGGTCAAATACTCAGAATAACGTGAGCATTCAGAAACTTGTGACTCATTTATTAATGGTACTTTTGCTAGTGAAATACAGCATTTTTTTATGCAACTTAGAATGGCAAACAAGCTGACGGCCCATGATATATCCCATGCGTTGCCATTCCTAAGAATTAAGGGGTTCTTCTGTACCCTGTAAATTTACTGCTATATTCCACCCTTCAAACCGAAACACAACCATACAAACACAACTGCTTAACGGTAGAAACACGAATGGGACAGAGGTACCCAAGCAAACGACTTTTGTACAGTCTCCCTCTTGTAATTAGCCTATCATAGGAAAAAGATCATTAAAAGATTCTTGTATTTATATGCCTAAAATTAAAATCGTATAAATTGAATATCTATGTATACAAGCTTCGTGATTAACATAACAAAATACATAACCTTATCCTTGAAACCGAGTTATTCAAGTACATTTAATTAATAAATATTCATTAGTATTATTCATAAAATATTTCTCTAAATATTTATAATAACTTATTGCTTACTTCTATTGACGAAACTAAATTTTACAAATAAATGGTCATTACTTGTGGAACATTTAATTTTAGGTCATCTCACTTCGTTTTGTGTTAAATATTTATTGACGCCGGTTTCTTTATTGCGCCGAAATAAATAACCAACATTGATCGAAGCGATCTTTGTTCGTAAATCGCCGATCGGCCCTTGTAATAAGGGCGTTGGCAGCGAACGACCGAAATATAGCGTGAAAGATAATTTCCCTGCGGTTGGGCCGATGTCGTCAGCTGATAGCCGGGGTTAATGACCTCGACTTTGTCTCTATGGTTGCGCATATCATCAATATATGAACGTCGGGAGGTCGAGGGGTTATCGGACATTTTTAGATCTATCTACTTACGATTTCTAACTGTTCTGTGTATGTGTTCTATATTACTGTATCTATATAAGTTGGTCCAGCGGTTAAAAGTAGGTAGATATGTTTTTATCATTGTTATGAATGTTATGTTTAAAAATACCTACTGCTTACGTTCGCAGTTGATAAAAATATGTTTCAACGTAACAACGTATTTATACTCGTACGTTGAACAACTGAAATAATTTTGTATTTAATTATTGACAGTATTGACATTAACTTACCTATATAAATATATTTTCATTCATATAAAATAAAATTTCCTTAAATATAAAATACGTAAAAAGATATGAATAAGTATTTCGCAATGTAAACACGAAGGTTTGGAAATAACGAACTAGGTTTGTATGTAGTTTATTGTAAGACTATAAAGCAGGCGGATACTAATACAATAATGAATAATTCATTGTAAACAACGTTATACTATTATATGTATTTATTACAATATCCACTACTTGCTAGCACAATGAATGATCGTTTTCCGCGAAGCAACTTATATCTTCTTACATTTATTTCTATAGAATCCTAGTTATTTATTTATTTTTTTCATTTTACGATTTAAGCAAGTACAAGTACAAAAGTCGATTGCTTGGGTACCTCTGTCCCATTCGTGGTTCAACCGTGAAGCAGTTGTGTTTGCATGGCTGTGTTTCGGTTTGAAGGGTGGGATATGGCGTAAATTTACTGGGTACAGAGGAATAATACCTGAGTCCTCAGGAATGGCAATGCATGGAGGTATCATGGGCAAAACAGTATACTCTGTTATGTCCATGGTACTGCTCATGTCTATAGGCGACGGTTACCACTTTCCATCAGGTGGGCCGTCAGCTTGTTTGCCATTCTAAGTTGTATAAAAAAATATAAGTGAAGCTGTCGAAAAATCTTCATAACACACAGCATAGATGCATAGAGCAACAAAACCAGCAGATTGTTTTCAAATCTGGGTACATATAAAACCGGTAATTTTTGATTCTATGAAATCCTAGTATTTGTAAAATTCTGTATGAGTATTTTGTATTTATAAGTATACAACTATATATACCTTTTTAGAAAGCCGGCAGCACACTTGTAATTTCTCCGATGTTGGAGATGTTCATAGGCTGAGGTAGTCACTTACCATCAGGTGAATCGTAAGCTCGTTTGCCCCCTGTGTTTAAAAAAATATAGAAGTCGCATGCCAGACTTATATGAATATGATTGAATGAAGCAACAAAAAAAACTTAAGTCATATAAAGTTCCTTTGAGCAAATCTAATACATAAGTCTGATAATAAAAATATAATCTAATATATTACATGAAATTTAACTATCTGTAGCTGATTTTTTTCTCCAAATGTATTTCGTGGAAACGAAATGTCAAAGGTTTCGCTTGGCAAACTGTTTCGAATCTGAGACGTGAAAAAACCAGCAGCAGAGTTTAAATTAATTTCAATTATATATTCATCACATCAGTCGTTAACTGTCCACTGCTGAACATAGGCTTCACCCAAAAAGGGAGATTTTATAATTATGGTTATTAAATAATATTATAAACATGATTGATATTTTTAGTAGTAGCCTGCCAAAGATATTAGGAGCGGCTAAGAAATATCTGGAGTAGGGTTAAATATATTTATTATAATTTTGTATGTTAGGACACTAGGTTTATAACATCGATTTGGCTTTTGCTGTTATAATGTTGTAATTATTTTTAATGAATAAATAAATAAAAATATATGTCAATCGTTCAGGAGTCACAAATCTGAATAGCGCTGTCAATGGCCTTATACAGGTCCTTTACCGTGCAACAAAAGAGAATTTTACGGGCATTGTAAGACCATTCATTCGTTTTAACTGCATTTGCAAACAATTGTTCGTTATTCTTGCATTGATTCAGTCTAAACAGTGTTGATTTTACATGATTATGGATATAGCAAATATTTTTAATTTTAATAATTTAACAATAATTTTCCTTGACATAGTTTTATGTTATTTCTATACAGTAAAAACAACTGTGACTAGAAAGTAATATTTTTAATATGACATGCACTAAAAATTTTCCCAATTTCTTCTGATATCTATAGTGAATATAAATGTCAAGCTGAAGCTCCAGAAATAGTTTCTACAAATAAAACAATTTGTTAGAATTATAAAAAATCACCACGTGGCCATTCCTATGGAGAAAAACATTTCAGTTAGTCATTGTTTCCTCTTGAATATATAATCGTAGCTTGGGCCTACTTCATTCACTGCTATACATGAATTGTTATGCATTAACCTTATGCATCAACCGATTTCCTGAATTTGAGGTCGTCTGCCTGAATGCATCTAATCAAGGTCGCACTACACTACGTATTCCTGTACGTGTTTTTAAATTAAGAAATTTTCTTTTTTCCGTCGGTTATCACTTCTTTTATCTTCGTGGCTGGTGCCTTGCTACATCGAATAAAAATTAATTAAGTAAACATTGAGAAATCACATATAATAGTGTTAATTTACAAGTCGTTGTAGGAGGAAACGGTCATCGTTACATCTTGGCCGGTGACGTCACATCCTCACGAACACAAGGTTACCCGTTCGGTAATTGACCAAGATTGGCTTACACGCGTCCATGATTCATAATTCACCCGAGATCGCTTCAGTCCGCCTGATTTACGCGATGTAATTCGCGAGTCGCGATTCTGGCATAGCAATTGTATCGTAAATTCTGCTTTAATTTGCAATTTATAGCTTGAATTTGTATCGTTGACATTTTGTTAAGATAAATGCATGTAGAGAATATGATCAAGACAACAGGGAAGATACAACGGGAAGGGATTTATTAGGAATGAGGATCTGACAGCTCCATTGCTAGCAATATACCCTATCGAGTTGACCTCCACGCCGTTCCCCCCGAAAACAATCGTGATTAATTCTTGTGGATCTCGTCACGATGGGCTAACTAACCTACATTCATCCTCACATATCGTCCCTCACTCCATTAAAAATAACAAGCAAGGTACCAGAGACAAAAGCATAAAAAAAGTTTATATGTCTTTACACTTTTCTAACATCATCTACTTTGGTTAATTTATCGAACTTTTCTCGTTTCTCAATAATTTTAATATTTAAATATGCAAACCCTTTGATAATTATCAGATGCATTGTGCTAACTAAATAATTAATTTTATTATGTGACGTTTAAACTAGTTTCGCTTTTTAGGGAACTTCCATTATCCTCTTGCTCATTGTGTTTGTTCATACGCTATTTTGTAAATGTAAACTCAATTACATTTTTGTCTATTCTTTTATTATAAATATCTGTTACATATTATATATGAAAATACTAGCGTTTACCTACGACTTTATCCGTTTCACTGGGATATATTCCTTGACCACAATAAAAAGTTATCTATATTCTTCTCCATCCATACTGTATATATATGTTAATTTTTTTTTGGTATATATATATATATATCAAATTTCACAGTGGTTAAGGTACTAGTAACTTACAGACAAACGACTCATTTTCACACTCATAACATTAATAAGAATTCTAGAGTAATCAGAAACTAATTACATGGCTCTTGGGACATTATAATAAACTCATCGCTATGGTTAACATATAATGTTATCACAAACTTCATTATGGGCCTTTGATGTGGGTAGGATGAGTGCGTCGTTGCCGCTCTACCCTACACTGGGACCTAACTTTATTAATTTCAATCTCCTCTTTGTTGCGATGGGAACAACCAATCGAATTATATATCGTTTGGCGTGTACTGGGTCTAGGTTTGTTATTCAGATATACTATCTTTGTTAATTACTTTTTTAATAAGAGTATTTTATGTAGTATTTTCTGAACTTATTGTTTTTTCACGAGATTCTGTAACAACTTTAAATATAATAACTCTACTCGACCTCTTAAATATTATGTAATGTCTCAATTTCTGATCGAATTCAGAATTGAACGTTGTTTTAGTTATTCGTAGTATTAAAGAAATAAAAAAAAAAAAAATTGGAGCAAATAATACTCTTAATATTATATCAACAAGATGACGATTTTGTAACAATAATTTTGTTATATCTACCTAATAATTATTGTTATAATAGTCAGTTTCTATTTTATAATATCCGGATTATGAAAGCCCATATAGTTACGCGTTTTATGTTTCGTATGCACTAAGCTACTTCTACTTCCGGGTGCGCGCGCGCAATTGCAAAACTACTCAGTGGCCTCAATAACTCAGATCACGGTCACTGTTCAAAAAATATCTCACAGTCTTGCCAAAGATGCACGTTTATACATCATATAAAAATAAATGTAATTGGTCACAATAATGAAGTATTAGAATGAGAAAGATTCAACAGTTTTGGTTTCAGTTTGATCTTGCGATTTTTTGGCTGGATATACTGCTTACGAAATACATAGACATAAATTTGAGATACTTACCTAATCTCAATGTTTAAGTTTCTCATGCACTATTATAATTTGAATTTTGGTATTCTTACTCACTGATAACAAACTCAGGAAAACCTTGATTAATCATTGTTATCTAGATTACTTCATGTCGCTGTAGGTGCAATACGTCTTTCAACGTTACTTATAACAGGTTGTGCTAAAGATTTACCGAGCAAACGGTTCTGCGGTCACCGTCCACTTTCACCGCCCGCCATCTTGTCGACAGAACACGGACGGCCATGTCGTGAGTGTCGGTGCTTGCCTCCAGTTGCTCATTGAGGAATTGGCACGCCTATTGTTACGCATCGTCTAACATGACGTCACGCAATTCTCGTCTGTAAAACATTTATTGGAAGTCATATAACTAAAATATTGTTATATACTTCACACTATAGGTATTATCTATAATACCTAAACAGTTACACATTTTTATGTTTTTTTTAGTTGAAGAAATAACAAATTATTAATGTAAATTTAAGTTAATGTTAATTTAAGTCTAAAATACTTATATAAATAAAATATATTGCTTTAAGGCCTTTTAAAATTATTTTCCTAATTAAACAAGTCAAAAAGTGTCTGTTTACGCGATTAAATTTTAAATAAGTTTCGGATGAAAATCTTACAGTATTTTGCCTACGTACAGAATAATAAATATTCTTGTACATATAAACGAAGTACGACTCGTTGGGTATCTAAAATCCGGAAGCATAAAGACCACAAACTTTAACATTACTGAAAAGGTTTCTCTTGTACTGTTTTGAGAATTCTGAGAAAACATCTCGTGCCGAGCCCATTTTCAAGCAAACTGTTATAATTAATTAATAAATTTAAATGATTATTGAACGATTATCGTTTGTTACAGGATCAAGGATTCAAGGACATCGAAATGTACATAATATCGTCGTGTTATTAATAACAAAGTAAGTTGTATTATTATTTATTGCATAATTATTACGTTATATGATAGGCATCTCAGCGAGCTATGGAGAAGACTCAGAGTTTCTTTGCGTTGTGACAGAATCTGAAAAGAGAATATCCGCTAAAGAACCAAAGAGACCGACATAGCCCGAAGGATAAGCAAGCTGAAGTGAAAATGGATTGGTCACATAGCTCGAAGAACCGACAACCGATGGAGAAGAAAGGTTTTTGAGGGGCGAACCTTTACGGGCTAACGCAGTGTAGGACGAACTCCACTAGATGGAGTGACGACGTCATAGGCATTGCAGGAAGTCAGTGGATGCAGGTGGCTTAGAACCGTATCCTGTCCTTATGACAGTCTATGGTGGAGGTATAACAGAGCTTAAGCAGTGGGCATATAATAGCTGATATAACGATCATGATAGGTATACTTCCCTATTAAAACATCACCAAAATCTAAGTGCGGTTGCCAACCTACCTGCCAAGCGTGGCAACTACCGGGGAAGGCCTACGTTCAGCAGTGGACAGCTAACGGCTGATATAATAATAATGATGATAGGTATAATGTCTAGAAATTTGAATATCTTAAATCTCAATCAGGTTTGGGTTATAAAAAAGCGACATTAGACTATTCCTGTGCTGTCCTGCTGGTATGGTAGGTAGGTGTTGGAAATAATAAACAATAATATGTGACACTGCGACTCACACGACCACCCGCTCGAACGTCAACCAGAAGAGTGCCTGGAACGGGAAGCTTACGGTCTAATCTGAATTTTAATGAGCACATCACAAATCTTTTGATTTTAAATGCTGTAGCCATTTGCCACAGGTATTTAGACTAACGTTTGGCCTAAACTTTTTTTAGATTTTAAAGAGAGAGTTGTCAGTGGTATATTTTAACTATAATAATATTTTTTGATTCGCCTTCCTAGGGTTCTAATAATAATTATAGCTAACATTTAGACTATTATTCAGCCTCACAACGATTTCTTTGTCCAGTTATAATTTAAGAATACGCCTTTGTTCAAAATACATATTGGATTCTTAATGCTTTTTTATACATTGTTACTTATTAAAGCCTTAAACAAAGCATGGCATTTATGTTATAAAGTTATAATACAAACTGTAGTTGAAACAATTAAACGTAATAATTATAGTTTACCAGTTTTGGATTTCTTTCAGACTAGCGATATTCTTTCAATAAACCTAAAGGTATTAAGAGATAAAACAATACGTTTTAATTTAATCTAAGGTTTAACATTATCAGGCAAGTAAAATAGTAATTTCCATTACTATTCCTATTATTTAATTACCTTATGTACGCACTACCTACTTAATTTACAAAATTTTAAATGATTCTAACGCCATTGTATATAAATTTAAACTAAATTTATATATGACCAATATGAACTAAATTAATAAGGTTAGTTCATATTAGTCTTCAGAATAGTGATTCACTATAACATAAAATTGCAGTTTTTATAGATAGAGATTGGCAATTTAAAATCAATTTCAGTGTTATAATACAAATAACAATTGATGAATTCAGACAAGAGTTTAGATCTGCCGGATCTACCGTTACTTTATGCGATAATAAAACCGGATATTGGATTAGGTTACGGGACTAGGAAACCGGTCTGTATGCGAAGGCTAATATAAGCATTGTTATATTACCATCAAAGATTATTCGTTTCGAAAATTTCATAAAATGAGCTCTCATCCCAAAGTAATAAGAATTCCATATACTTCCGAGAAACCAATAAGTAATACAAGAATTGAATGAATTACTTTTTTACAATTTGCATTAACAGGTTTAACATGATGCTTTAATAATTTATCATCAAAGACAATAGGGCTACCATTAATATAGATACAAGCGTACCTTATGTAAGTTGATATTTCGATAAATAATCTAGTAGGTTGGTACAACCCTAACTTGTTAATTATAAAACGTCCTGTTATTTTGTACAGTTTAAATTAAGCATTAGTTATACTTTGTATATATTTTTTCACTTGTTACCTACTAGTTTAAATGTAATATGATTGCCGAATTTCATACAATACGACAACAGACATACACAAGGCATACAAGCTTCTCCGAAAGAAAATAGAAGATTAGAATTATAAAATAGAAGAATTCAAAATATTCAACTTTAGAAATTCTTAAGACTATAAACAATACCGATCTATAAAGATGTAGTCGGTTATCGCTTCTATCAAACCGTATACTTGTTAACAGTTTTCATGATAAAAAAAATATTATTTCTTGCAACACACAATAAAAAATATAGCTAACTAGCTTCTCCCCTGTTACTTCCTATGCGTGGATATCAATAGTACTCGTAGTAAGTAGAAGAATCAATTAAATAGACAACTTCTAGATAGCATACTGAAATAAAACGTGTACTAGATTTTAGGTTAGATCTTTAGGAACACAAATGTTAAAACTGCATACAATTTAGTTCAGTAGTTCTCGCATATTGCATAGTTTTGCATAGTAGTTTATCATGGGCAGTGTTCTGAGGAATTGTTCAAATTGATGATACCTTTTACTGAATTTCATCGTACAAGCTGCCATAAACTAAAGTTCCATTCCAACCATTAACTTCCAGTAGCGGTATTTTCGAACCGATACGACATAGTAATCTCTAGAAAAAAGAACATATTCCTTATTGATCGGCAGCACACTTGCAATTCCTCTGTTGTTGCGAGTGCTCACGGGCGGTAGTAGTCACTCACCATTAGGTGAGCCGCATGCTTGTTTGCTCCTTGTATTATAAAATAAAAATAAAATATACAATGGAAGATGCGCTATCAATTTGTCTACAATATAATACAGCATTCCATTACTAATAAATATAAAACTGGGTGCCAGGTTTAGTACTGATTTTTTAAAAGCATTAAGTAATTGTGGCGCATTCCATTACTAATAAATATAAAACTGGGTGCCAGGTTTAGTACTGATTTTTTAAAAGCATTAAGTAATTGTGGCATTTTGTAGTAAACGCTTGCTTACCCAATGCACACGTGTATGCTGTGTAGATACACACGCACATGTACAGATATACATGACAGTTCAAACCATGAGCGGTATTTATTATTTAAACTTTAAATGTGTTTAGAAGTAATTAGAACAAGGCTACTTGTTAACTTGATGTGCAAATAGGCCTAAGAATTGTTGGATACGGACGTTTAGTACTTTATTGACTAAAATCCTATAAACACCGTAGGATCTGCATAAAAATTATTAGACATTTAAGTATTATTATTACTATATCAATCGTTAACTGTCCGCTGCTGCCCATTCTTCGACCATTAAATTCTCTAAGTTGCTTCTTCGACACCCGCGGGAAAGGAAGGGGTTTTTATACCAGGACCACACGGCAACGACACTGAAGTAAACAAGTATAATTCTGTGTATGATTCACGTAACTATTGGCTTAAATAGACATCGAATGCCTACGTACAAATCCCGCCTACAAACATGAAGCCACTGACACCAGATATTAACTAGTTTTACTATACTGTTCACAGTAACACCTGGCTTAATGAAATATTAATAGATCTCTCGAAACGCATCGCATTGAAACAGTTTACACCTGTCTTATTTATTTAATTATCTATATTTGTAACTTGTTAAAATACTTCATTGATTGACTAATTATCTTTTAAATATATTAACAAAGTAAGTTCAAATTTAAATATGAAATAGTTAATAATAAATTAAAATATAGTTTAAAAGTGAATTTATTGGGTACAGAGGAATAACATCTGAGTCCTCAGGAATGGCAACGCATGGGGGGTATCATGGGCGAAACAGTATACTCTGTTATGTCCATGGTACTGCTCATGTCTATAGGCGACGGTTACCACTTTCCATCAGGTGGGCCGTCAGCTTGCTTGCCATTCTAAGTTGTATAAAAAAAAAGTTTAAAATAAAAATAATTTGTCCATATAAAAAGCCAATAACAAGTTTTCAATACTTAGTAATGTAAAATAGTTGTAGCAAAAATAGTTATTAAATTTTGTAGTAACCAGTAACAACCATTTTTACACCATATAAGTACATCATAACAATAATTACATAACAATAATTATATTTTTTTTAGTAATTATTAACGCTCTATCTATACATATAATCTAAATGAAATTATTTGCTGGTAAATTCATAGTATTGATACTATAATACATTATTATTAAATAAATTGAATATACTTTCACTATCATGCAGGATTAAATTACAATCTACTTCCTCGAGTGACAGTATAATCGCTAACAAAAATGTGGGCCTTTCTTTCCTAGATATCCATTTCTGCTTGTACAATGAACTTGACCCAGTGCAAATGGTGTCGATGTTGGACGCTTCGTAATTTTTACTTGTTTCGCTCCATGTTGCCCGACCTTCGGCAACTTTTTGTTAAGCCCTCTAACTTTTTTGAAAGTGTTTTGATTTGCGTCACCTTTTCTAGTTGCTGTTTTTTTTTTTCAATTTATTCTTATACTACCTTTTACTCACAGCTTTGTCTGTGTGATCGGGATTTACTAATTGGGATCAAAAGTAGTTTATGTCCATCTCCATACCACATACTCGTAGTCGTATATATATATATATATATATATATATATATATATATATATATATATATATATATATAATTTGGTATATATATTGTATATTGCATTGTATTCTTTGTTGTACTAAAACATACAGTAACAACAATAAGTAATACAGGAATAACAATGTTAGCAAAGGCGAACTTATCTCTAAAAGAGATTTCTTCCAGTCAATAGTGATTAGTAAAACCATTATGGTGTCAAGAAGAAACAAATGAACACGCTTTTACATTTATTTTCACATAAGGACTCTTTACATGCCTTATAGCAGGTGTTTAGTTACCACACTTAAATTATGATTTTCAATTTAATTAGGTAGTGTTTATGTTATCAATCTTTAAAAACCTATGTATAACAAAAAAAGTAATTACCTATCTATCTTTTGACA